CAGATTAATCCAATCCAAGTTCTTTTCATCAGATTCTGAGGAGTACAGGGGTGGGAATTGGGGGCCTAGGTCCCTCAGGAACTGTCCAGTGATTAAAACAAATCTGTGGTTATACAGCAAGGCGCCTGCCAGGGCGCAAGTTGGTTTGTGGAACATGACTGCTAAGATAGGCATGCCAAGCCCCTGGGTGTGTGGGGTGAATTTTATTTAACCCCTGCAGCCACTCTGCGAGAGGTAAGAGTGGAGGAGAGGTACTCTCAGGTCTTGATTTGGGCTCTGTATGTTCCTGTGTCCTTGGCCCCATCTCAGGTGGGCTTGTGGTGGTCCAGAGGAAGCCCAAGAATCCGTCACATCTGTCATGGGGACTTAGAAGCCGTGGGATCAACCTCACAGCCCAGTCCCTTCCTCCTGGGCACGCACACCCACCTAACATCGCAACAGGAATGGCAGATGGTGGCGGGGTGGGGGGGACGCATGTCACTGGCCTGCGGTATGTACATGATGTTGAGGGCTGAAGCGGCACAGGTTTGCCCTCTTGTGTGGCAGTGGCCTCCACCCCACCCAGGGAGACGAGGCCAAGAGACATTCTGTCACCCAGGAAGGTACATAGACGAACACTTCTTGAAGGGCTTCTCTACCTGTTCCCTCAAAAGATTATCTCATGATGGGGCGGGAGCTCTGGGTGGCCTCGGGGTACAGGAAACTTTGCGGAGTGGGGTTAACCTTTGCTGGGGTAAAGGTAGCAGAGCTCTGCGAGGAGGGAGTGGCCTCAGGTAGGTTTCCAGAGCCACAGAGCTCTCGGGGAGCTGGCACCCCACCGCCTGCCCTGCGGCCCACGGGGCCCTGCTGCCCAGTTGACCCGCCTCTCCTCCTGGGCTGCACTAGGACGTCCTGCTGCTCAGCCAGTTCATCCGGCCACACGGAGGCATGCTGCCCCGCAAGGTCACGGGGCTGTGCCAGGAGGAGCACCGGAAGGTGGAGGAGTGTGTGAAGATGGCCCACCGAGCAGGTAGGCGGCCCCTGGGGCGGAGGGGCAGGGGGCAGCGGGGCCGGCTCCCCCACCCAGCTGGAAGAGACTCGCAATGTTCCTCGCCCAGTGCTGGCCTGCTTGCTCCCCCAAGCTGTGGAGGGAGCTGCAGAGACCACCCCTGCTTTTCCCTCCACGCAGGTCTGTTCCCAAATCACAGGCCTCAGCTTCCTGAAGGCGTTGTTCCGAAGAGCAAACCTCAGCTGAACCGGTAAGCAGATCTGGGTGCTGGCCCTGAGTGTTCTGTGGGCCTCTGGCTGCCACTGGACTGCACTGGGGAAGCCGTTTGCTAGTGTTCGGCCCGTAGCACAGGAAAGCTAGAAAGCACCCTGGCTGGCTGTGCCGCCGCCTCCCGGGGTGAGAAGCCCCCACCCCATCAGTCCCACCATGCTCAGCCTCTCCTGCCGCCCCCCTTGCTGGCCTCAGCATCTCTCTTTCCTCTTCCCTCCCCTGCAGGGCCCTGCACGGGGGCAAGGAGGGTAAGAAGGCAGCTGATTGGGCATTAGAATGTGGTAATCCTGTGTTTATGACATCACACCGGGTTGCTATGGGGATGTCCGAGTGCTTCTACAAACTTTCAGGATCCCAACTCTCTGCAGCCCTGAGGTTATTATAGGGCAGAATGAAGTCTTCCAAATGGGAGGGTTCTCTGGGGTAGAACCACTGTGTATAGCTGCTCTAGCTGTGTACTAACCAGGTGGACAGGATTACAAATAGTGCTCCCTGGAGTTGTGCAGTTAACAACATACACAGCTGCATATGGCAGCCTGGGAGGTCCTGAGGTCTTATAGAGGAGGAGACCCTGGACCCTAGATCAGTCTGTCCTCCAGCCTAAGCACGGTAGCCCCCTCTAAAGTAAGAGCAGATTTTTTTTTTTTTAATGTGAAAGTTTGAGAGAGAAATATCTTCCATCCATTGGTTCATTCTCCAAATGGCTTCAATGGCTCTCTGGGCCAGGCCAGAGCCAGGAGCTTCCTCCAGGTCTCCTGTGTGGGTGCAGGGGCCCAAGGACTTGGGGCATCCTCCACTGCTTTCCCAGGCACATTAGCAGGGAGCTGGATTGAAAATAGAGCAGCTGGGACGTCCATGTGGGATCCCGGCGCTGCACATGGTGGCTTCACTCACTGTGCCACAGTGCCAGCCCCCAGAGAAGATTCTTACCTGACACTCCGGCGTCTCTCCTATTGCAAGTTCCTCTTCCTCCCCCCCACCCCCCATCTCTGACGCCGCCTTAATCACATACTCGTAGGTTTTAAATTTCCCCTTGTTGAGCGTAGAGCTGAGTCTGTGGAACTGACCTGGGAGTTTGTTCCTGTTCTCCGTACCAGTGGCCCACCCTCTGGCAGCCAGTCCAGCTACCACTGCTGGTTTCCATGCCTGAGTGTGGAGACCAAAGATGACAGAAGCAAAGTGAGCTGCTAGGCCCAGGGTGCCGTGGGGGCAGTGCACAGTTGCCTCCTGGTACCTGGCCCCCCTGTCTCTGGAGGCCAGGCTAGCCAGAGCCGGGCCTTCGTCGACATCTTGTCAGCACTGTGGCCCAGTGCCCAACTCCACCTGTACCTCCCGCATTGCCAGCTGGGCCATCTGCCAGCAGCCCTGAGGGAGCAGAACATGTTAACCTCTTTTCTGTCTCCCAGCTCTGCTGTGGGCCACTTGGGGGAGCCCACCCCGCTCTGGGGTTGTCAGAGACAGCAGCAGGCCTGAGGACACACTCCATCCTGCCTGCAGGCCTTTGAAGCCAGGCCAGGCTCACCCCAGACATCCGGTGTCCTTTGACGTGACACAGGATTGATGAAGTGTGGGGGCTCTTAGGTTGCAGAGGCCACTGTGGCAGGAGGGGGAAGTGCTGCCTGGAAGGAAATTGACTCCCTCCAAGGCACTCTTGTGATCGCATCCAGCGGTCCTCAGCTGCCATGCAGCGGCTCAGGTCTGGCCAGGGCCCCTGGAGCCCTCCTTTGTTCTGCCACTTCCCTCCCCGGACCCCTGCAGGAGAGGAGCGAGGGAGCGGGGTTAGGGAAAGAGCTTTGACTGCGCCTAGAGCGAGGTTGTTCCCAGAGAGCTGACTGGAGGCCACCCAGCCCACCCCTGCCAGCTGGCTGCCCTGTGTGGCACAGGCGTCAGGCCCGAGGCTAGCTGAAGCCCATCTTCCCTCAGGTCCCTCTGGGGCACGGGGAGGAAGGCCCAGCGTTAGGGTAGGAGCTCAGGACAGCCTGGTCAGCCAAGGGGTCCTCTAGAGTCTATCACAGTGAGCACCCTCCCCTCCACCTCCTGCTCTGGGGTGGAGGGCAGGGTCGGCCCAGGGCCATCAGGTGGCCTTCCCTGGCCTTACTCTGTTGTCCCAGCACCACCAGTCCTAGAAAACACAGTCCCTCGGGGCGGCTCACCCCATAGCTGGCATCCCAGCCATGGCCACGGGGAAGCCCAGCCCGCCACCCCTGCCTGGCACGCGCTTGGAGAGCCGGCTGCCCCTCGTGCGGCTTCCCCTCTGGCTGCAGGAGCCAGGGCCTTGGTTGCATTGCATAAATCAGCAGTCGATTTTCACTTTCATTTAAAAATTTTTAGTCAAAAGTAGTGATTTTGTTTTTTATTATAAAGCTCATTTGAGGGTCTCTGGAGGCAGCTGGGTTGAGCCTCAACCTACGGGGGAGGCAGGGGAGATTCCTGGCCTTTGTCACAGCTGAGCTTTCAAGACGAAGGATGGGCCTTTCTGGACAGGATCCAAGTCTCGTTCTGGACAGAGTAAATCCCAATCCCAGCCGCATGAGCCACTTTTCCGGGAACTATCAGCGCCCTGGCCATCCCCAAAAGAGGCCAAAGTACTATGGGTGGCCGCCATCAGCTCCCCCTTCCAGGAACCTCCCCGGGTGCAGGCGCCTCCACAGGCCCAGGCCTTGGCTGGTGAGGAACAGGGGTCCTACAGCAGCGCAGGAGCCCCGGGCACTCCCCTGAAGGCTGGGGTGGCGGCTTCCTCCGGGCATTTCCCCAGCTCTCCTCTCCCCAAGGCTCCTAACTGCACCTTCTCCCCGGCACGCACACACCAACACTGACAATTCACAAGGATCAAGGGAGCTCGTGGCCCTGGGCTGCCTGACCCTGGCCACACACGGCTTGCGGCAGGAGCGGCCCAGCCTGTCTGTTTACGGGATACTCGGCAGTTACTCCCAGGAAAATCCCCTGTCCTTTGAGAAAGGAAAACTGGTCAGAGGGTTTGCTTGGCCAGCCGTGGCTCGGGCCGTGGAGGCAGGAGCCCTCTCTCCCACTTGCAAGCCCCAGCCACCTCCTTGTCCTCACTCCACAGCTACCTGACCCGCTGGTCCCCCCGCTCCGCCAGGCCCATCTACAACAGAGGCCACCGCTGGAACAAGGTGCGCATGCCCGTGGGCTCGCCCCTCCTGAGGGACAACGTCTGCTACTCGAGAACACCTTTGAAGTTCTATCACTGAGCGCAAGGCCGGCTCGCCAGCCCTCCGCCACGCTGTCCTGCGCCTCCCACGCCAGCAGCGCAAGGGACAGCGGGACGAACTCCAATACCCTTAGCCTGCCTAGGAGCTGAGCTGGGAGCCGCAGGCAAGCAGTCGGGTCCCTCGGCCACTGCTGTGTTCTCCACGAGACTGGCTGGGCAGGACCTGGGTGATGTTCAGCATGGGGGGCAAGAGGTTTGCCTGAAGGAAGATCATAAACCAGGCAGCTGGACTTGCCCGCTGGGTGCGTATTCACTGCCCGGGCATGGGGGCGGGCATTCGCAGCTGGGTGCTGAGCGCCAGCGCGGAGGCCATGTGATGCAGCTGGAGGGAGGCCCTGGGGGCTCCAGGGCAGCAGTAGGTGGGCCCCTCCTCAGGGGCCCCTGGCTGTGTTCACCTTCTCCCTCAGCTTGCTGCCATTGCACAGGTGGGTTTCCTGGCTCGGTGGGCCTCTCCTTAGAGCATGGACACGACAGACGTGGCGACGAGTGGCGGCACCACAGGACAAGGAAGGCAGTACACTACCATTTATAAAAATAGTGCTCAGACACTACAGAGCCCGCGGGCTGCACCAGCCTACAGCATGAAGGGCAGGTCTATGTTTTTCTCGCCAGTGCCCACGTAGACGTAGCCGTAGCTCTTGGTGTTGGGAGTGTGGTAGAAGGTGAGGCCCGGCCAGAGCAGGCTGCGCAGCACCACCAAGGCGTTGCCCCTCTCCATCTGCACGCTCCAGGACCCTGGGAGGAGATGGGCAGCAGGTGAGGCCAGGCCACGTGCCAGGGAGGGGACAACCACGGAAGTCCCAGCTGCCCGACTCCTCCTGGTGGCCTTGCAGCTGCCACACTGCCCATGAAGACCACTTCCAGGGGAAGCAGGAAAAACTCAAAGCAGCCACTGGTGTTCATGTCAGTGAGTCCAGCGAAAGGTCAAGTGGGGGCTGGGCTGGGCTGGGGAGTCGCTCCTGAGATCCCTCAGAAGTCCCCACTCGGGGGTGGGTTACGCCAGCCTAGGGGGCTCAGATGCAAGTTCAGCTGCGTCAGGCCTCCAGGCTCAGGGGCCTCTGCTTGGCTGCTGGAGCTGGCAGACTGGGAGCCAGCGCCGGCCAGAGGGGCTTGTGCTCCGCTTACAAGCCTCTACATCCTGGGTTCTGCCTGGTTTTTGCTCCGCGAAACAGGAGCAGCCCAGCCTGGGGCTGAGTTGTACAGCCACGAGGACTTGGCTGGAAGGGCCTGATCCCACTCCAGAACCAAGGGAGGGAGCTGCTGTGTGGGCGGAAGGAGCCTGGGAAAGTCGCCTCTGGATGCAGATCTGGGGCTTCTATTCCCCTGCGCCGGGCCTCTCCCGGCCCCGCCACAGCCCTGCTCCAGGCCCTGCCAGAAGGCAAATGCTTTGAAAGTTGTGGGGTTGGACCAGCCAGCCACGCACTGAGAGCTGCTCTGGGGCCTGCAGCGGCTGCCACTGCCCCGGCTTCCCACAGCCTGCCCTGGCCACAGCACACTCACCAGGGCCGCCCTGCGTCCCACAGACCTGAACACCAGCAGGCCACTTGGCCCAGGGCTGTGTAGGTCAGCTGCCCTGGCCCTGCGCAGCACCCTCACCTGGGATGCTGAAGTGAAGCCACCGTGCAGCCTCATCGGCTCCTCTAGCCCAGTGCCCACTGGCAGCATCCAGAAGGAAGCAGTCACTAGGGCTCTCATGACAGAGGCCTCTGCCTCCAGACCTGCCCTCCTGAGAGCGAGCAGCCCTGGCCTATGGCTTCCTGGTCACACAGCTCCAGAAAACAGACTGGGGCGAGGAGGGGGGTGTGGGAGACAAAGTGCCCCCGTCCTCTGCGTTTGGCCGCTCCTTGGTTACTCGGGTGCCCAGGCTGTCATCCAGGCCAGCATTCTCCAGAGACGCTGTCCCTACCTGCCCCTGGAGCCCATCCCAAATGGCACCCTTAGGCTGAGAGGCCAGGCTCTGTCATGTTCCAGTGCCCAGCCACAGGGGCAGTTTGCCATCTGTGTGGGCCCAGGGCTCCCCAGGATCCTAGAGCCCCCAGCCCTTCCTCCTCAGGTCACGGTTATCAGTGTGAGGGCATTACCAGCCTGGCCATGTCCCCGTAGACAAGACAGCAAGGCCCCTACCCCGAGAGCAAGAAGGTGGTAGCAGGGATGCTGGAACAGGGCAGTGCCCGCCCTGGGGCGAGAGGCCATGCCAAGCAGGCCAGAGTGCTGGCAAGCACAGCACAGCATGTGAGGGGCCGGCGGCAACAGCGCTGCCATTCCTGCCATTCTCCTGTCTCCTTGGCCCTGGCTCGAGAAACACAGGGACTCTCAACGTGCCAGGAGTCACGTAGCATCTACCTGAGGAGCCAGGCACTTGCTGTCACCTTCACCCACTTACTGCAGCTGTGACAGCCGGCTGCTGTCACCCCTCTAGGCCTCCCGCGGCCCTGGTGTTTCAGTTCAAAGCCCCAAGTCTTCTCCCCATCTCTTCAAACCTCTCCTGATCCCCCAGCAGCCCCTCTTCTCCGGGCTGTGTTTTCAGGCTGTAGTGGGGGGGCAAAAGCCAGTAAATCCGGAGGGGAGAGCCCCTTGGTAGTTGGCAAGAAGTCCTCCTGAGTTTCCTCCCCCACCTTGCCAGTGTGGTGAACTGAGGCCAGGGTGTACCTCTCATTACATTTCCTGCTGACCGGGAGACAGCTGGCTGGGCTGGGGGTCAGGACTGTTCAGAGGCAGCAGGTGACAAACCTGAGACCAGCCCCAAGAGAAGTTTCTTTGTTACACATAAAAGATGGCCATGAGTCCTGTTGAGGGCCACAAGGGCAAGTCAGAACTCCCAGAAGCCTAGCAACAGGATTGTGCCAAGTCCCTCAGTCCCCAAGGTCAAGCATTTGTCAGCCACACCTCCAAGGGACAGGTGGGAAGAGCCACCTGCACGTACCCCGAGAGAAGGGTGATCCTGAGCACAAGTTCCCCACCCCTCTCCAGTGCCTGCCTGGCCTCCACCAGCAGCCGAAGGGGCAGCGTTCAAAGGCCGCTGTCCAGACGGCCAGGCAGGCCCCTTGCTGCCCTCTGCTGCCTGAACTGGGCATTGCTGCTGAGCGTGGTGAGAGCCCAGTCTGCCAGGCAAGACGGAAGTCTCCGTTCCAGCCCTCCCTGCTTGCTTCCCAAGACACCTGTGACCCCATTTGTAAGGCTTCTTCCACTTAAATCCCCCAACCTTCCTGTTCCATCTGCTCTCCCACAAGCCTCCGCAAGGTAAGGAGGTGTCAGTCTTGTTCCAGTGGCGTCACACATGCCCGGCTTTGGTCCTACCAGCAAGCCAGTGGCTGTTTGCCAACAGTGACAGGAACGGCGCACTGGCTGGCAGGATCCTGTCTAGAGAGCTGGCTTCCCAACCTCTTGCTCCATCTCTGTCACCTCGCTGCCACCTAAACTCGGAGAACTCTGAGCCATCGCCCTGCATCCACTAGAAAGATGGTCCTACTCCACTCCATCCCCCGCTGAACTAGACAGGGGCCCCCACGAGACTCCGGTCACAGGGCACGATGTGACAGCTCATGAGAACAGTGGCCCCAGACAGCATCACCCAGACACCACACCTGTTCAGAGTCGCACAGGGTCACCCTGAACACTTGCCTCAGACCTGGAAAGAAACTATCCCCCAGGGGACCCCTGCTTGGGTCCTAGCCCTGCTTAGCAGCCATGCTGGCCTATCCTGGCCACTGTTCTGCTCTTGCACTGGCTGGTAAGGCAGAGTGTGTGCTGTCCCCAGCCGTGCCGCCTCCATCCCCACCAAACAGTCCTGAGAAAATGCCAGGCTTCTTGCTGGGCCTTCCCCGTGGTGGCTCTGGAAGGAGGGCCTGGAGACCCAGAGACAGGTCAGGCCACACAGACAGGAGAAGCCAGGAGCTCTCAGCTCCCAAGGCTCCAGCCCGGAGGAGCAAGCAAGCAGCATGCCAGGTGGACGGGGAAGGGGAGCCTCAGCAGATCTCGCAACCCTGCTGCCCACCGGCACGGATGGAGGCTTTAGAGTGAGTGCCATTGCCAGTGGACCAGCCCCAGCACCTCCCAGAGGCCTGATGGGCTCACAGCATGGGGGCCCCAGAAACCTTGAGAAGGAGCCTCCAAAGCTCCACACCTTACTTCCCCTGGCCACAAGGAGCTGCCGCCTGCATTTCCTTCCCCGGGGAGGGCAGGGCCCACAGGCCTGATGGCGTCCCTCAGGAAGATGTAGCTGCCCATGCCACCCGGGGTAGCACCCTCTGCCAGGACTGCCTCAGCCCAGCCAGGAGCACCCAGCTACTGGGGAAGGGGAGAGGGCTGCGGTGGCCTCCCCGACACAGGCTGAAGCCGATGACGGGGACTCCGAGGATCTCAGTTGGCCAGCACAGGGCCTGCCCCCAGCACTCCTGGCTCCCTCCAGCTCCTGGCAGGGCTGAGGATGGCGATGCAGATGTAAGGTCTGAAAAGTAGGCCTGGTGGGTGAGAAACGCCCCAACCCCTGTGAACCTGCCTTATTCCCCCACTGCGGACTGGCTGGGCTTGGGGTGCTGGCCTCAGACGCCCCCGTATGGCCAAGGCCAGAGTGGCCACTCCTCCGACTGCTGGTTTGCCCCGCCCCTTTCTCCCACCTGCCTGTCTCAGGCCTGTTCATCAGCCACCCCAGCTTCAGCCCCGACCTCCCCCCCAGCCTCTGTACCCTCCTAGCCTGCCCCAATTTGTCCCTAAGGACTTGGCCGCTAAAAGTCAATAATGATGTTTGAGTCCTTTTTGTGCGTGAAGCCCCATTTCATTCCAATACCAACCCACCAGGGTAGAAAAAGATCAATTTTCTCCTTTTAGAAACGAGGAAACTGAGGGACGTGCCAATGAGTGGCTGATTCCGGAATCCGGCCCAGGCTGTCGGATGCCAGGGGCCCTTGCCACCCTGCCCACATCAGAGCCAGCCCAACTGCAAGCTGCGGCTCCTCACAGGTGTTCCCCTAAGTGGCTGGGTGGACAGCTGCCTGCCACTCCGGTCATCACTGAACAGGAAACCCGCCTGCCTGGCGTCACGGTGGACGCCGGGGCCTTGGAGTCCAATGCTCTACCACTGCGTCCTTGGGTGCACCTCTTGGAGCCCGAGTAAGGCGCGGTGATGACGACACGCGCCCCACAGACTGGCCATGAAGAGCGGACAAGGAAGGCCTGGAAAGGGCTGAGCCCAGCATCTGGCTGCGAACAGTGTCCCTGCCTTTATGAGCTGCCATTGTCACCAATATTGCCATCAGCATCGTCAGGACCCCTCGAGGTCTCGGAAACACCAGCCGTGGAGAGGGAAGAAGCAGGGCACTGAGTGGGCCCTGGGCCTGGCCGCTGAGGGCCTGGGGCCTCAAGCCCATCTTGAGGACGGCCCCTCCCCCAGGACAGGCGGAAGCAGGGTTTGTGCCCCTGACGCTGAGCATCCTGAGATTAAAGGCACACTAGACACAGCAGCAAGCAAACGTGTGCGCAGCAGGGGTCTGCCAGCCAGTCCACAGCTGCTGCTGGAACTCTGGGTGGAGGTCAGTGACTAAAAGCTGGGGTACACGCGTGGCCGGGGAAGAAACCCAGTCAGCTCCCTTCAAGGTCACCAGGGATCCAGCCCCCCCACACTGCTGTGGAGAGACCCGCACGGTCATGTTCACCGCTGTCTCCTCAGTGGCTAGGTTAGGGAACCAACCTGTGGCCACCAGTGTGTGAATGGAAAGAGAACGGGAGGTCTGGGTACTCAGTGGAATTCGGTTCAGCCATCAAGAAGGAAATCGCATCATTTGCAGCCACATGGAGGGACCCAAGAACCTTAGGCTAAGTGCAATGAGCCGGGCACAGGACACACACGGCATGGGCTCACTCACCGGTGACACGGAAGAGAGCTGAGCTCACAGAAGCAGAGGGTAGGACGGTGGTTAGCAGGGCTGGAGTGACGGGGGAGGGGACGGGGAGAGGGGTTCTAGTCAAAGGATAGAGAACCCCAGCCAGGTGGAGGAGGTAAGGTCACTATTGCACAGCAGGGCCGCTATGGTTAATGACAATATATCGTCTGCGTGCAGAAATGCCAAGATAAGTCCTCTCATCGCACAAACAATAATTATGGAGGATAATGCATTTGTTAATTAAACTTATTCTGCAACGTAGGCATGCCTCAAAGCATCACGTTGCACACATGAACACACACAACTGCATGTCAGCTAACAAAAATTAAAAATTTTAAGTTAGTAAATTAAAAAAAAAAAAAAGATTGTTTATGGAAATCAAGAGATGCTGAGATGTTTCCTGTCCGGAAGCTGTGGCGAGCACGCGGGAGTCCACTAGAAAACCTGCAGCACTGAGTGGCTAGACGGAGCTGGTTCCGGGGAGGGCCCGTTCCCACCCAGCCCAAGCCCCCAGCCCGTGCATACCTTTGGGGATGTCATGCTCCAGGGAGTCCATGAAGTCAAGTGAGGGGTCCAGGCTGGCCTTCTCCAGCAGGGTCTTGTTCCTCAGCTCCACTGGCTCCCGGAAGTGGAAGTAGGAGCTGAGCTTCTTGGCCTCAGACAAGGGCAGTCCTAGGGGGTGGGGGGCAGGGAGGCAGGGAGCAGGTGCTCAGCCCCAGCACTGCAGGGGTGAGGAGGGTGAGGGTCCCCCGACACCCTGAAGCGGGGGAGAGGAGCAGCTGGCCAGCCTGTGCAGACCACAGGCACCCCACGGAGCACACACCTCCCCCCCCCCCCCCCAGGCCAGGTGCTCCGGCCTAGAACAAACCTTCAAAGGTGCGGTTGATATGGATGGGGCCAAAAGGGGTTTTGAAGAGGGCGCCTCGGGGGATGATGGCCACAGCCTTGTCGATCTGGTCGATGACGGACACCAAGCGCGTCTCCTCCTTGATCTGGACCTGAGGGCACAGACGGGAGCTGTCGGCCAGGGGGCTGTGCGCACGCCCCTCCGTGTGAGCGTCTCCCTGCGACCCACAGTGCACGGACCACAGCTACCCAGGGCGCACTGACAAGGCTTTGCCCTCTCTCCTATCAAAGCTCTCTCCCTCTCTTTCCTTCTGCCTTTTTATTTTTTGAAGTGGCATCACATACAGGTGGAACAATATTCAAAACCACACACATGCACATACAGAATTCTGCCTTTCTCTAACCCCACTCCCCCAAACCCCATGAAAAGTTCCTTATATATCCTGCCAGAGACACACCAGCCTAGCATGGTGTCTAAATGGTACGTATTTTACCTTTTAAAATATAAAAGCTGCAGCCGGCATTGTGACGGCATCCCATGTGACTGCTGGTTCGAGTCCTGGCTGCTCTGCTTCCAATCCAGCTCCCAGCTAACATGTCTGGGAAAGCAGTGGAGAATGGCCTAAGTGCTTAGGCCCCTGCCACTCCTGGCTTTGGCCTGGCCTAGCTCTGGCCATTGGGGCCATTTGGGGAGTGAGCCAGCATTGGAAGCGCTCTCTCCCCCCCCTCCCTCTCACTCTACCTTTCAAATAAATAAAATAAATCTGCACTTGGTGCAGCGGTTAAGTCACCCCCTGGGATCCCCACATCCCATATCAGTGCCTGCTTCCTGTCCTGGCCCTTCCACTTCCAGTCCAGCTCCCTGCTAATGTGCAGCCTGAGAGGCTCAGTTCCTTGGGTCCCTGCCATCAGGTTGGAGACCCGGATTGACTTCCCAGCTCCTGGTTGTGACCCAGCCCAGCCCTGGCTATGGCAGGTATTTGGGAAATGAACCAGTGGATAGATGGTTTTTTTTTGTTGTTGTTGTTTGGTTTTTTTTTTGTTGTTGTTGTTGTTGTTGTTTTTTGACAGGCAGAGTGGACAGTGAGAGAGAGAGAGAGAGAGAAAGGTCTTCCTTTTTCCGTTGGTTCACCCCACAATGGCCGCTGCACTGCGCTTGATTCGTAGCCAGGAGCCAGGTGCTTCTCCTGGTCTCCCATGGGGTGCAGGGCCCACTGCACTCCCGGGCCACAGCAGAGAGCTGGCCTGGAAGAGGGGCAACCAGGACAGAATCCGGCGCCCCGACCGGGACTAGAACCTGGTGTGCTGGCGCCGCAGGCGGAGGATTAGCCTATTGAGCTGCAGCGCTGGCCAAAATACATAATTTTTTTCAAGAGAGGAAGGGAGAGAGACAGAGAGAGAGAGAAAGCTTCCATCTGCTGGTCCTCTCCCCTTACTGGCCACAACAGCCAGGGCTGGGCCAGGCTGAAGCCAGGATCCTGGATCTCCATCAGGGTCTCCCATGTGGGTGGCAGAGGCCCAGGCACACGCACCATCTTCCACTGCTTCTCCAGCACTTGAACTGCTGATACTCATATGGGATGCAGACATCAAAGGTGGCAGCTTAACCTACATAACTGCCAGCCCCTACATAACTGGTCTTTGAAAATAAAATAGAGGCGCTAGTATTGTGGTGCAGTGGGTTAAGCCGCCACTTGCAATGCCAGCGTCCCATTATCAGAATGCCGGTTCGAGTCATAGCTACCTGGTTTCCAATCCAGCTTCCCTGAAGTGTACCTGGGAAGGCAATGAAGGATGGCTCAAGTATGTGAGCCCCTGGTACCCATGTGGGAGACCCGGATGAAGTTCCTGGTTCTTATTTTCAGCCTGGCCTGGTTCAGGCTGTTGCAACCATTTGGGGAGTGAACCAGCAGATGAAAGACCTCTTTTTCTGCCTTTCAAATAAATAAATAGGTAAATAAATCTTTAAAAACACAGTAAAATATAAAAGCAGGGGCAGGTGTTTGGCCGAGCACCTGAGTCTGGTCCTTGGCTCCACCTCCAGCTCCTGACTCTGCCTGGGCAGTGACGGCTCAGTCACAGGGTTCCTGTCACCCTCGTGGGGGACCTGGATGGTGTTCTAAACTCCTGGCCCTGGCCCCAGGCCCAGAACTGGCCACTGTGGGCATGTGGAGAGTGAAGCAGCAGATGGAAGTGTGCTCTTCTTTCTCTCTCTCTCTCCTCTCTATCTCAAATATATATGCTCACTGCAGAAAATCTGGATAGGGGCCGGCGCTGTGGCACAGCAGGTTAATGCCCTGGCCTGCAGTGCCGGCATCCCATATGGGCGTCAGTTCAAGACCTGGCTGCTCCTCTTCCAATCCAGCTCTCTGCCACGGCCTGGGAAAGCAGCAGAGGATGGCCCAAGTCCTTGAGCCCCTGCACACAAGTGGGAGACCCAAAAAAAGCTCCTGGCTCCTGGCTTCAGATTGGTGCAGCTCTGGCCATTGAGGCCAATTGGGGAGTGAACCAATGGATGGAAGACCTCTCTCTCTCTCTCTGCCTCTCTTCTCTCTGTGTAACTATTTCAAATAAATAAATAAATCTTAAAAAAAAAAAAAAAGTAAAAGGAAATCTGGATAACCCAAGAAAATTAAAACCACTCATAACCTTCCCTCCTAAGGAGCATCATTGATAACATGTTGGTACACTTCATTGTATTCTTTATGGGTGCGTGTGCGCACACGCACGTGTGTGTGTGTGTGTGTGTGTGAGAGAGAGAGAGAGAGAGAGAGGAAGGGAAAGAGAGGGGGAGAGAGAGAGAAAGAGAGTGAGAGAGACTAAACTGGGGTCACAGCTTCGTAGTTTCATACCCAACTCTTTGGCATTGTTTTCTAGGCTTCTCCCTTGTCACAGCCTCTCCCACACATTTCCAGGTGCACTAACACGCAGGGTGACCCCACACCAAAGGACTCCGGGATGGCTCGGGAGAGCAGTGCTGGCAGGGACAGGGCACACGTCCACAGAGGGCCGCCCACTCCCCCAGGCTGTCACGTGAGTGGGCTACAGAGCGGGGATGCAGCCTGAGATTAATAAGTGCCTGGGCCGGGGCTGCACGTACCTGAAGCTAATGTCGAGGCCTGGGAGGTGAGGCCTATAGGGCAGAGGGCGCACAGGTTGCTGCTGAGGCTTTGCAGACTGACACCCTAAGGTTGGCGGGCCCCCAGGGTCAAGTGCAGAGCCTGGGTTTTCCCTTCTGGGTTTGTCTGGTCCAGAACACAAGCCCCTAACTCATTCCTATTTGTCAGCTTCTTGTCACCATAACAGAATCCACGAGGAGGCCTAACTTCACAGCGCGAGGGGCTTATGTTGGCTCCCAGTTCTGGAGGTTCAAGTTCAAAACCAGGCAGCGCCGTTGGCAACAGCAGAGTGCATGTGGAGGCAGGGCCACATGGTGAGTGAGGACCCAAAGGTGTTGGGCCCACTGCAGGCTTTTATAGTAGCCTGCTCAGGTGAGTGAGGACCCAAAGGTGTCGGGCCCACCAACAGGAGAATTACCTTCTTTAAAAAAATAAATTAAAAAATTATTTATTTATTTGAGAGGCAGAGTTACAGAGAGACAGAGAAACAGAGAGAGGGATCTTCCATTTGGTGATTCACTCGCCAAATGGCCGCAAGGGCCAGAGCTGGGCCGATCCAAAGCCAGGAGCTTCTCCTGGGTCTCCCATGTGGGTGCAGGGGCCCAAGCACTTGGGCCATCTTCTACTGCTTTCGCAGCTGCATTAGCAGGGAGCTGGATCAGAAGCGGAGTGGCCGGGACTCGAACCAGCGCCTGTATGGGATGCCGGCACTGCAAGCAGAGGCTCAGCCTGCTGCACCACAGACAGTGCTGCTCCCCTTACTGAGGTTTGTATCTGCACAAATCTCTCGAGAAGCAGTGTCACAGGCTCCAATAAGGTGAATTCAGATCTCCAGGGAGCACGTTAAAATGTAGCTTACTGGGGTTGGCATTGTAGGTTAAGCCACCACTTGCATGTGGCAGTGCTGGTTCCTGTCCCAGCTGCTCCACTTCTGGCCCAGCTCCCTGCTGATGCACCTGGGAAGGCGGTGGAAGATGGCTCAAGTATGTGAGCCCCTGGGCCCTGGCCATCTACTTAGGAGACCAGGACGGAGTTCCTGGCTCCTGGCTTCAGCTTGGCCCAGACATGGCTGTTGTAGCCATCTGGCGAGTGAACCAGCAGATGAACGCTCTCTCTCTCTCTCTCTTTCTTTCTCTCCTTCTCTCCCCATTGCTCTGCCTTTCAAACAAATAAATCTTTTTTTTAAAATATGGGGCCAGCATAGTAGCACAGAAGGTTAAGCCTCTGCCTGCCACTCTGGCAGTCCATATGGGTGCCTGTTCGAGTCCTGGCTGTTCCACTGCTGATCCAGCTCCCTGCTAATGGCCTAGGAAAGCAGCGGAAGATGATGCAAGTGCTTGGGTCCCTACACCCATATGGGAGACCTGGATGAAGCTTCTGGCTCCTGGTTTCAGCATGGCACAGCCCTAGTCAGTGCTGCCATCTGCGGAGTGAACCAGAGGATGGAAAATCTCTCTTTCTCTCTCTCTCTCTATCAAATAAATAATTTTTTTAAATGTAGATTACAGATGCTGAGGCTCAGGACTCTATGTTTCTGAACACTAGAATGGTGATGCTTCTGATCCAGACTGCATCTTGAGCAGAAAGATTTGGACACAGAAAGACACATGTGCAGACATACATGTACACATGCAAACCCAGAAAGAGGTGTGTGCCCCTGGTGGACAGGAATGGAGGGGGACTTGACCATATTCCTGTTGTATCTTTGAATTTGGAACCATGGGGTCATCATACGGTGGAAATTAACACAAAAATAAAAGACCACACCAGCCCTGATCCCAGAGAGCACCAGCCCCTCTCCCCCACCCCCCACAAGAGCCCGGCTTTCCCAAGAGTTGCCTGTCCCCTCGTCCCCCTGTCCCCCAGAGCTGTGTGTCCCTGGACAAGTCACTTCCCCTGTCCTCCTCTCCCCCACCTGGTGGGGCTGGGCCCACTCCGGAGCTGTGAGGATGACAGGAGGGCAGAGGGAGGCCCAGTTCCCAGCATGCCCAGCGATGCACCACCCAGCTGGGCGGGACAGAAGGGGACAGCGACGGCAGCCGCTGCTCTCGTTTGTGCCCCACGCCGGTTCTGGCGGGCCAGGCCCTCGTCCCACCCCTGCTCTTCACTCACCACCACTTCCTCCTCAAAGGCCTTGTCGCCCTCGTTCACCCTCTGCAGCTCGGTGTGCTCGTACTCGTGGGAGGGGTCCCCCATGAAGCGGCCCTTCACCACGGCCGTCTGCGCGGCCATCTCCTCCGTGGCTGGGGGCAGGAGGCTCCACTCGACGCAGTTCAGGCTGCCAAAAACAGGCATCTCCCCTGGACTCCAACCCCCTCTCTCCATCCTCCAAACTGCCCTCCTCCCTGGAGGCTTGGGCCTGGGAAGAACTGTTGGAGTTCCCACCCAGTGCTGTTTGGAGACCCTTAGAAGCCCCAAGTGCCTGGGGTGCATCCGCCCCTGCATGTAATGCAATTTCAATCGCAAAAGCCTCCTGTTCACACACTCCGACTCCGGCAGCGTTCTGTCCTGACAAACCCACTGCAGGTGGGCGAGGCACCCAACACAGCCGACCTGATGCCTACTGCGATCCAGTGACCACAGCGACCCACACGCTCACATGTGAGTCATTTCCCCTTGTGACCACTGGACCTACCAGGGGCTGCGCTCACTGCCACCACCCAGCATCACAAGAGAGGATCATGGCCGGCGCCGCGGCTCACTAGGCTAATCCTCCGCCTAGCGGTGCCGGCACACTGGGTTCTAGTCCCGGTTGCCCCTCTTCCAGGCCAGCTCTCTGCTGTGGCCAGGGAGTGCAGTGGAGGATGGCCCAGGTGCTTGGGCCCTGCACCCCATGGGAGACCAGGAAAAGCACCTGGCTCCTGGCTCCTGCCATCGGATCAGCGCGGTGCGCCGGCCGTGGCGGCCATTGGAGGGTGAACCAATGGCAAAGGAAGACCTTTCTCTCTGTCTCTCTCTCTCACTGTCCACTCTGCCTGTCAAAAAAAAAAAAAAAAAGAGAGAGGATCATGCTGCAGAATCGTGAGCCAGGGGAAAGACCCAAGTTCATGATCAAGTTCCTGCCGAATGCACAGGCCGAGATGGACAGAGCCCCTTTTTAGTTACGTGGACTGAGAAGTTCTGGGGGGCTTCCTGGAGGTTGAACTTTCCGCACTGGGAGCCCCTACACTGGGGCAGGCCCTCAACCCGTGTTCAACCCTACCTTGACCTTGTGTTCTCATGCCCCTCCTTCCTGCCCTCCAATCCATTCGGCCTAAGCCCCCAGCCTGCTCTCTGCCTTGCCACCACTCATTCTCTAGTTCCCTCTGAACATAAAAACCACTTGATTGTCTAAAACAACAGCGGTCCTCAATCCATGCCCCTCGAGAAAATGTTTCTCCTAGGGCCAGCACTGTGGCAAGGCAGGTTGAGCTACCACCTGTAAGTCCAGCATACGAGGGCCAGTTCAAGTCCCAGCTGCTCCATTTCTGACCCAGCGCCTGGGAAAAAGCAGTGGAAGTTGGTCCACGTGCTTTGCCCCTGCACCCGTGTGAGTGGGTGGAATTCCAGGTTCCTGGCTTCAGCCTGGCCCAACTCTGGCCTTTGGGGCCATTTGGGGAGTGAACAAGTGGATGGAAGATCTCTCTCTCTGTCTCTTCCTCTCTCTTTCTCTGTAACTCTGCCTTTCAAATAAATCTTTAAAATAAAAAATGCTTCTGCCCTCCACCCCCTTCCTCGTCAGCTCTGACAACACCCTCAGTGGCCCTGAGCGGTCCCTTCCTCCCCCTCCCTCCCCCTCTCCAGCCCACAGCCCCTCCTTTCCCCTCTGAGAAGCTGCTAGGGGAAGGCCGCCCATCCCACCACCCCATCCACCAAGGTAGCACCATCTCTGTTCCCTTCCCCTCCTCCAGTGCCTCAAGCCTTCCTAGGAATGGATTCCCACCCCTCTTCTCTTTCTTCGTCTCATCCGCTGCCTCCCAGAGCCTCAGCTGCAGGCTAGTGAGTACCTGGAGTCCAGCCGCCACTCAGCACCCTTCCCCCGGACCCACGCCACCATCCGCTCTTTCCTGGACACGGCAGTAGGCACCCAACCGGCCTTCCTTCTTCTATATCTGCTCCCATTTCAGCCTAGGCCCCACCCAGCTACTCAAATGCCAGCCAGATCACAGCCCTCTTCCTACTGAGCCAGGCCCTGTGGCTCCCCACAGAGCTCTGTGTCCTGCAACATTCTCCCCTCCCTCACACCTCCCCAGCCCCTCCAGGCTCTACGGGGCTCCACAAATGCACAAGCACACACCTGCCTCAGGGCCTCTGCACTTGCCTGGAATTCTTGTCCCCCAAGATACCCAAAGCAGGGCCAGTGTTAAGCTGTAACGGGTAAAGCTACTGCCTGCGATGCCGGCATCCCATATGGATGCCAGTTTACGTCCCAGCTGCTCCACTTCCATCCAGCTCACTGCTAATGGCCTGGGAAAAGCAGGGGAAGATGACCAGTACTTGAGCCCCTGCCACCTACATGGGAGACCCAGTGTAAGCTCCTGGCTTCAGCCTGGTCCAGCCCTGGCTGTTGCAGTCATCTGGGGAATGAACCAGCAGAGGGAAGATATCTCTTTTTCACTCTCTCCCTTTCTTGTAACTGTGGTGTTCAAACAAATAAATAAAATCTTTATTAACAAAAAAAAAAATCCACATGGCTCAGCCCTCAGTCACATCAGGGCTCCTCTCAAAGTCCATCTGTCACAGCCCCTCCTGCAAGTTCTGTCCCCTTGGCGCTCAACATTATCCGCCGTGTAATTCACCTGTGCACTTGTCCATCATCTAGCCCCCTCCCCCTGCCCCCAAATACATACTGCAAAGTAAGCTCCGCGGAGACGAGGATTTTCTCATTGACCTCTGAGTTCCTGGTACCTAAATTAATGTTTAGTACGTAAGCAGGTGCCCAACAAATACTTAGAGGATAAAATGAAAGGAACGCCCAATCTCTCTGCAGTTCAAATTGTTCTTCTGGAGTCCAGACCTGCATTTTTATGTGCCTCCTTGGGCAGCGCTGTGGTGTAGTGGGTAGAGCCACCGCCTGTGGCACCAGCATCCCACACGGGCGCTGGTTCGAGTCCCAGCTGCTCCACTTTCAATCCAGCTCTCTGCTAATGTGCTTGAGAAAGCAGCAGAAGATGGCTCAAGCACTTGGGCCCCTGCACCTGCATGGGAGACCCAGAAGAAACGCCTGGCTCCTGGCTTCCACCTGGCCTAGTCCCGGCTATTATAGCCATCTGGGGAGTGAACCCCCCGGTGGATGGAAGTGTACTCTCTCCCCCCCATCTCTGCCTTTCAAATAAATAATAAATCTTTTTTAAAAATGCATATGCCTCTTCACACCCTGCCCCCAGGCCCCTCGCAGCAAAGGCACTGACCCTCCCAGTCCTGATGCCTTTCTTCCCTCCTGGTGGTGGTGCCAGCACTCAGCTGCCCAAACTGGAGGATGGGTCACCCTTGACCTCTTCACCGTCATCCCCATTAAGTCTAAAGTCCGCTGACTCCACCCCTCTCCAATCCATCCCCTCCTCACCATTCCCTCAGCTACTTCTTCCTTACAAACCTTTTCCTTTTTTTTTTTTTAAGGTTTATTCATTTATTTGAAAGGCAGAGTCAGAGAGAGAGAGAGAGAGAGAGATCTTCCATCCGCTGGTTCACTACCCAGATGCCACAATGGCAGGAGCTGCAGCAATCCAAAGCCAGGAACCAGGAGCTTCCTCCGGGTCTCCCACACAGGTGCAGGGGCCCAAGAACTTGAGCCATCCTCTACTGCTTTCCCAGGCCACAGCAGAGAGCTGGATCAGGAGTGGAGCAGCCGGGACTCCAACTGGCACCCATGGGGGATGTCGGCACTGCAGGTGGCGGCCTCACTCACTATGCCACAGCACCGGCGGCCCCCCAAACCCTTTTATCTCAACATTACAAGAGGCTCCAAAATGCTCACTCTACTTGCAAACCATTCGGCTCACCCAGATCTGAGCAGGCTTTCTTGCTTAAAGCTCAACAGCTCCCCATGGCCTGCGGCCAGAGCTCACAGCTTCAGCTCTCCCTCTAGTTCAGCCTAACACCCTGTGCCGCTCCTCCTGAACAGCCAAGCCTTCTCCAGGCATCGAGAGCTCGCAGCACTGTACCCTCTGACTGCTCGCCTTTCTCCACACCTGGATGGAGAAAGCCCACTCGCCTTCCTGAACTCAGAGCGAGCAGCTCCTTTGCTTTCTGGGGTCTCTGGAATGCCCACCTTGGCTCCCTTTGCTGACACCTGCTTTAACGCAGGTGCTGTAATCGCGGAGGGCCACACCTGTGGCCCTCCCTAAGGCGCGAGTGACTCGGAAAAGAGGTGTGCTGAGCCATCTTTGTAATCCCAGGTCCAGCGCAGGATGCAGGCAGTCACCGTTGTAAATGAAGGGCTCAGCGAAGCGGCAAGCGTCCCGGCCCCGCCGGGGGCAGTCAGGAGGAGGCTGCACGTCCTGTTTTCCCAGATCAATCCCCCTTTTATCCCCATCCTTATTCTCCCCTGCTGCGCAGCCAGTCCACACCTCCTCCGGACTCTTCCCCGGGGCGTTGGGCCTCCTCCGGTCAGGCCTTCGGAATGCCAGTCCCGGCGCCTCGCCCGCACCTAGCTTCTACTCCAGGAGCCTTCACCCCGCTCCGCCCCCTTTCACAAACCCACTCCCACCTGAATCTCCACTGAGCTCCGGGCCCGGTCAATCTGCCCCGGGCCCCGCCCCTCAGGTCCCGCCCATCCACTTACCCGCCCTTCAAGCCCCGCCCCTTTCCCAACTGTCCGTCCCAGGCCCAGGCCCCGCCCCCGGCCGTCAGCTCCGGCGCTGTCCGCCCCGCCCCGCACACCTCGTCCATAGGGCCGCGTCTCCCCTGCCTCCCGCCTCCCACCTGTACAGTGTCTTGCGCGGTGCGAGCTGGTTCTCACTCAGGCCCTGCGCGATGTAGTAATCGGCGACAACGCCGAGGATGCGGCCCCAGAAGAGGACTCGATTGTAGCGGTAGTCGCGCTTCACCAGCGTCAGGGAAGTGAGCAGCGAGGCCCGACGGTCCGGGCTAAGGCCCTGCCCGCTGCCCGACGCCAGCTCCAACGACAGCAGAAGGCTCTCGGCGTCCATCGGGCCCGCGGCTCAGCTCAACGCCCGTCGGGGCGCGGGCAGCCGTCTCCAAGGAGACCCGAAGCTCCGCCCCGCGGGAAGCCGTCTCCAAGGAGACCCGAGGCTCCGCCCCGCGGGAAGCCGTCTCCTTGGACACCCGAAACTCCGCCCCTCTGCCCCGCGAGAAGCTTCACGCAGCCACCCGCCCGCCTGCCGCGCGCTTTTCCTTGGCCCGGGCCCTTCCGCAGAGCCTGGCCATACACTAGACCCCAGTCCCCGATGCCCTCCGGAGTCTGGGACGTGGCTCCCCTACAGGAGGTAGCTACAGCGCGGGGTTGACCGCCCCCGCCCAGCCCAGCACAGCCCGGCCCAGCCCTAGCGCCTAGTGGAGGTTTAACTGAGCTCTCACTGTATATGTATTGGGAACCTGGAAAAACAATGCAGAGCACCAACACTGCCACTAGCTATATTATTTCTCCCCAATAATGTCACTTGGTTTTTTAAGATTTATTGTTAATTCTTGAAAAGGCAGAGCGAGAGGTATCTTCTACCCACTGGTTCACTCCTCAAATGGCCACAGGAACCAGGACTGGGCTAGGCTGAAGACAGGAGTCTGCAACTGCATCTCCCACGTGGATGCACGGGCCCAAGCACTTGGGCCATCTTCCGCTGCCTTCCCAGGCGCATTAGTAGGGAGCTGGATCGGAAGTGGAGCAACTGGGACTGGAATTGTGCTCGTGTGTTATGCTGGAGTTGCAGGCGGTGGCTTAACCCACTGTGCCACCACACCAGCCCAGTAATGTCACTTCTTGACCTTAGAATTGTTAGGAAACTGGGATCCCTAAGATTCTGCCAATTAACCCACACCCACACCCCTCTCCTGCCCCAAGTCAGACCTTACAGAATGGGTCCCTCAGTTCTAGTTTCTTCCAAGGTCACCAGATGTCTCTTTATCTACGCCTTCCATAGACCTTCCTACCTAAATGGCAAAGGACGATTAGGCAATGGGGCAAGGTTTAGGCCACACCTTGGGAAAGGAGGGTGTGCAGAGGGGTACAAAAAAAGGGCAACATTTTACAGGTTGCATTTTCCCATCAGCTCCCACCTACATTTACCTATCTTGGGCCCCACCGTGTGGCTCTCAGACCCAAATGGTAGCAAGCAGCCGGGACCCCTCCTTGGGCTTCAGACTACTTCATGGCCACCTCTGGAGTCCCCAGACAAAGACAAACAAGTTTCCCAGCAAGCCTGTGGCCAGCGGAGGAGATGGGCTTGTTACTATTAATTGCACTTATTTCTGGATTCCTTTGTAGAGGGCACATGAAATCAGAATGACGTGGGCCCCACATCAGAGAAACAAGTGTCTAAACCGCCCAGATAATTGCTTTGTTTTGATTATCTGGGCACTGCTTATGTAGGCTTTTAAAATTAATATCTCAGGGACCTGACTCGGTTTAATGTGTCTTCCACCTCAGGACAATCCACAGCCCTTTCCCCTTCTGTTCACAGCTCCTCCACTCCCACTCGTCAGGCCACCTGGCCTTTCCCTTCCCTGAGTGGGAGATGTGGCCCGAGTCCTCGTCCCTGGGTCAGGGCATCAGGCAGAACAAACAGGCCGAATGCCGGCTGATGGAACATGCTTTAAGTGAACCCAGCACATCAAAGAGCCCAAATGGTTTGTTTTCACTGAGCCCATGTTTACTCAGCGCCTGCTAATGGCAGGTTCCATGTCAGGAACCAGGGAGGGAAGTCCTGCCGCTTCCCAATGCCAACGCCTTTGGCAGAACAAATCCTGACTCACTGTTGCCCAGTAAAACACAGACGTACTACGCCATGGGAAGTGCTCAGCCTCTGGAGCCAGGGGGCTGGGTTCGAATCCACGTTTCACCACCAATCTCCCTAAGCCTCATCTATAAAGTGGGAACAATAACGCATACACTGTAAGGCAGTTGGGCCTAGGTACCACATGCAAGTGCTCCAAACAGTGTATACAGGAGGGGCTTCAACAAGCTCACGAAAAAGTTCAGTGCAGGGATAATGAGAATGTCCCATGAACTTTTAAGTTCCTTTGTGTGTTACATACTTAAAGCAAAAACTTTTACACTGTTTCAAGCGCTTTGGATATGTTACCCATTCGAACAATCTCGCAATTATGTATCACCTGTTTATAAGCACACACCTATCTCGGCACCAGCAGGGAGAGGATTCTTTCAACTTTCTTACTGGGGAAATGAGCAGCTGCTCTCCTACCCCAGGGACCAGCAAGGATGAGGAGAGGCACCTCCAGCGCAGCTGAGGGGGACCCACACGGCAGGAAGGTGGGGTTTGGCTTAAGGACAACACTGCCAGCAGTGACTGCCCACAGCAGTCAAACAGCTACAGAGAAGGCTGGGCAGGGCTCCAGACGGCACATCTGGCCTCAGGGAGCAAATCCCACAGGACCCCAGGGCAGTCCTGGGGCCTCTGCCAGTGACTGAGCCCCTCCCTGTTCTTTCCTCAGTCCCCTCCCAGATCTGAAGGGCAGACAGGCTAGGTTGACCAGCCCCCCCATCCCCCCCGGAACAGCTGGAGGGGTCTGCAGGGTCTCACCCGAGGCCTCAGCTCCCCAGGCATGGCACGTGCCCTGTGTTTCGCTGACAGCTGCCTCCATGAGGACGGAATGCCGCTGCCTTCCCCTGGCTGACAGGAGTCCCTCCAGCAGCCCCTGTGACCCTCCAAGCCCTGGGAACAGAGCTGTAGCTCCGGGCATGTGAGGGTGCCAAGTCTGCGGAGGAGCTCCTCCCCCGCTTAGAGTCTATGGTAGACCAAGCACAGGGCCAGAGACTTCCCCTAAATCACTGGGCTCTCGATGGGGCCTGCTAAGCTCAGTCCCTCACCACAGTTCTTCCCACACAAAGGTCGTTTTTGCTTTGGACATAGAGAACCCAAGGGGCACCAAGATCAGCATGTGGCAAGGAGAGAATGTTGGGCTTGAAGTCAGTGCATGAAGGAGCTGATGGGACTCCACTCCCAACTCTGCTATCAAACTACTTACAGGGGCCAGCGCTGTGGTGTAGCAGGTAAAGCCACCACCTGCAGGGCTGGCATCCCATATGGGCATTGACCGGTTCAAGCCCCAGCCACTCCACTTTTGATCCAGTTCTCTGCCATGGCCTGGGAAAGCAGCAGAAGGGTCCCAAATGCCTGGACCCCTGCACCCGCTTGTGGGAGACCCAGAAGAAGCTCCTGGCTCTGGATTGATGCAGCTCCGGACACTGTAGCCAACTGGGGAGTGAACCAGCGGATGGAAGACCTCTCTCTCTCTCTTCCTCTCTCTCTCCTTCTGCCTCTTCTTCTCTCTGTGTAACTCTGACTTTCTTTTTCTTTTTTTTTCTTTTGTGACAGGCAGAGTGGACAGTGAGAGACAGAGAGAAAGGTCTTCCTTTGCCGTTGGTTCACCCTCCAAGGGCCGCCACGGCCGGCGCTGTGCAGCCGGCACACCGTGCTGATCCGAAGGCAGGAGCCAGGTGCTTCTCCTGGTCTCCCATGGGGTGCAGGGCCCAAGCACTTGGGCCATCCTCCACTGCACTCCCTGGCCACAGCAGAGAGCTGGCCTGGAAGAGGGGCAACTGGGACAGAATCCGGCACCCCAACCAGGACTAGAACCCTGTGTGCCGGTGCCGCAAGGTGGAGAATTAGCCTATTGAGCTGCAGCGCCAGCCCTGACTTTCAAATAAAAAATCTTAAAAAAAACTTATAGAACTTGAGCCAATCGAACTTAACTCCCCAGACTGGCTTGTTATCGGCTAAGTATACCTAATTCAAAAATCCAAAAACTGTAATGTTTGAATGCTGACATGACACCTCAAGTAGAAAATTTCACACCATGAAACTCTTGTTTCATGCACAAAATTATTAAAAATATCATATAAAATTAATTCAGGCTAGTGCATACAAAGTGTAATAACACATACATGAATTCCATCTTTAGACTTGGATCCTATCCCCAGGATATCTCATTACACAGATGCTAACATCCCCAAATGTGCCACACCTCTGGTTCTAGGCATTCCAGAGAAGGGATATCCTACCTGTAACAAAATATCCTGGAAGGCCTGCAGCAGAAGAGGCCCGGGAGAAAGCCAAAACCCTCTAGTCTCAGCCGGAAGGGTCTCTTTAAGTCAAGCATTCCAGGAAAGTTTACTCTGAATCCATCTGTTTTGTATTTAAGTTCATGAGTTGCATCCACCTTTACATCCCCAGTAAAAACTCTGCAAGGACACGACAAGCAAGCAGAGAAGGGCCGCCTCCATAGGAGTGTCCCTCTCTGGACCCGGCTTTGCTCTGCAAGCCCAAACAGAAACACCTGACCCAGCACCCTCTGGGAAAAGCAACCTTTGATTCAACAAGCTGTAGCTCAGGGATGATTACCATGGTCCTAGCCACACACCGTCAGCCCCCCGGAAGTGTGAGGAGGGGAGGCAGCCAGGACAGTGCCTTCCCCTCTCACCGGGAAGCAACGCCAGCTCCAAGCGAGAGTCGGGTGGCTCGGTGCCGAAGGGAGCCGGGCCATTCGGCCATCCGTTTCCAGGATGAGGAAGCGTCCTCCGTCACTCGTGGAAGCCTTTCAGCGTCACTGGGGCCTGGAACCAGATGTAATCGTCCGAAGCCACTGTTGGGTCGGAAGGCCTGCCGCAGGACAGGCTCACGGTCAGTTTGTGGCCGCGGCTGGGCACGCGGTAGTTGAGCTTGGGTCGAAACCAATCTTCTCCACAGTCACGGTGCCCCTGAGCCATGACGATGGTGCCCATGAGCGGTGGGGCCTGCAGCTCGCTAAAGGCGTCAGCCAGGAAAATGGCCCGGAAGAGCCGGCGCAAACAGGCTGCTGTATTCAGGCTCTGGTCCACACTGTAGGGAGCCAGCCGGGACAGGTCAAGTTCGTAGAACTCCTTGGGGCTTAGGGCACTGCCCCCAAGGAGGATCAGCACTCGTGGTACCAGGGTTCGGGCAAAGAGGCCCTCCAGGTGACTGAAGACACTCTCCAGTTCCGCCAGGGCTTGTTGGCATTTCCTGCTGCTGGCCTCGGCAGCCGTCCGCGGCTTCTTCCTCACCACGTCTTCTGCCTGTGACAACAAAGCTTGGTGAGACAGAGAGACAAGGTAGGGGAAGCTAATGCCTTTTAAAGAACCCTGTGAGGGGCGATGGCGCTGTGGTGCAGTGGGTTAATGCCCTGGCTTGAAGCACCGGCATCCTAAATGGGTGCCGGTTCTAGTCCCAGCTGCTCCTCTTCTGATCCAGCTCTCTGCTGTGGCCTGGGAAAGCAGTGGAGGATAGCCCAAGTGCTTGGGCCCCTACACCCAAGTGGGAGACCTGGAAGAAGCTCCTGGCTCCTGGATTTGGATCAGCTCAGCTCCAGCTGTTGCGGCCCACTGGGGAGTGAACCATCAGATGGAAAACCCCTCTCTCTCTCTGCCTCTCCTTTTCTCTCTGTGTAATGCTGACTTTCAAATAAATAAATAAATCTTAAAAAAAAAAAAAAGTGGGGGGCGGGGGCGGCGGCACTGTGGCATACTAGGTTAAGCATCTGCCTCCGGAGCTGGCATCTCATATGGGTACCAGTTCTGGTCCCAGGAGCTCCACTTCTGATTTGGCTCCCTGCTGATGGCCTGGGAAAGCAATAGAAAATGGCTCAAGAGCTTGGGCCCCCAGCACCCACATGGGAGCCCCAGAAGAAGCTCCTGGCTCCTGGCTCCGATCAGCCTAGCTCCAGCTCTTGCAGCCATTTGGGAAGTGAAACAGATGAAAGACCTTTCTCTCTCTCTCCCTCTCTCTCTTAACTCTGTTTCTCAAGTAAATAAATAAATCTTAAAAAGACTGAACGTCTAGCTCAATGAATGTCATCGCCACATCACTGGGCTTTATCAACATCACAGCAAAAAGTGAAATCTACTCTTTGTGCCATAGTTCTCCCACCCTTCCAACAGCCAAGAGAGCGGCCAGATATAAGAAGCTAAGATAGCCAAGGAAATTTGGTGGCATGCCACAAAGCAGTCAATTTTTGCTGGGGTATATATGTATGTATGTATGTGTATATATATATATGTATATATATATGTATATATATATGAGAGCAAAATAAACTCATTTTGGGGGGAAAAAGAGCAAAGAGCATATGCGAAAGTTAAGAACTCTTAACAATGATTGCCAAAAAAAAAGAATAAGTTGTATTGGTGTTGGAATATAAAGTCAAAGAACTCCCCCATCAAGGAAAAACCAAACATGAAAATTTGGAGAAAAGAAACTAAAATGTAAAGGCTCAACTCTTCGAGTCCAAAAGCAACACTTAATAGGGGTTTCGGGAGAAGACAGCAAGAGGGAAAAAACCAGAGAGGGTCACCCCGCTGAAGACGCGAGCGCGGAGCCAGCGCCGCCGACTGTCCCTGCAGATGGCTCGGATCCCCGTTCCACCTGCTCGCCAGGCAAGAGCCGCGACGTCTCCCCCCCGTAGCCCGTGCCTACCTGGGGAGAAGGTTTTCGGTAGAAGTGCTTCAGCTGTTCGTAGGGCAGAGGCAGCTGCTGGCGCTGGTACATGATGTGCTTGAGCAGTTCACAAGTAAAGCGGCAGCAGCCTTCCCGGCTCACCGGCCCGGGAAACACCACCGGCACCATGCAGTCTCTCGGGCAGCAGTGCTCCGCAGAGCCGGGAGCCTCGGGGGCAGAGGCAGTCTCCGGCAGTTCCACCGGGGAGCCGTGAATTTCTTCCGACTGGTCAAACCACTCCAGATCTAGGACACAAGAGAGGGAAATGAGACACAAGCCAGGGTCGGGCTTCGCATTCCCTGCGGCCACCACGCACACCCCGACGCCGCAGATACCCTAGTGCGTACGTGCGGGATTCCTGACCCCCGCGGCCGTACATGACTAAGTGGCCGATACGAGAGAGATTCCCGGTCAGTGACTGAGGCTCTACTCAGAAATCGGGCTCCTGACCCAGGGAAAAGAGGGCGAGGCGCAGTCTCATCGGAGAGCGGACGAACCCGGAGCTCGGAACCAGAAGGACCAGAGGCGCGGTGATAGGACAGGACGGCAGTAGGGAAGAAACAGGGCCCCGAGGAGCCGCAAGCCCGGGCCCCCATGCCTTACCAGTGCCTGCGGCCGGCGACGGGATTTCCGGCTCCGGGGCCGCCATCGCGACCTCCTCCCTCAGCTCCGTGCGTTAGAATGATCGGCCCGCGGAGCGTCATGGGAAGCCCTCTCCACTTCCGGCTCGGCCGGAAGGGGGCGCGGCGCCACCGCCCTGGGGCGGGGTCGGGGGTGGAGCCCGCGCTGGCACCCTTAGCCCTCCGGCTACCGCGAGCCCAGGCGCTCGCGGCCACCCGCCCTCTAGCAGCCATTCATTCTTGGGTTCATTACTTTCTTCACGCCGGGCCCTGTCCTCGGTGCTGGAGGCTCCGCCGGGGACAAGCCCGGCGCGGGCCCTGCCGTCGAGGGGGGCACTGCCTATGCGTACAGTGCAATGGGATGCGTTGATACAGTGGGGTATACAAGGGCTGGGGGAGGGAAGAACTGGGGCGCCTAACCCAGAGCGGGTTGGGGCAGGGGTACGTGGTTCCAGAAGAAATGTGTGAAGATGTTGTGACCTTGTCAGTTAGCAAGGTAAAGAGGAGACCCCAAGAGACAAGAACATCATCCCCTGTTCAAGGAATGAAGAATTCCTAAAGCGCTGGGGCGTGGAGGAGACAGGATCATGACAGGATCTTCTAAGCTTTGATAGGCTTTGAACTCGATCCCCCGTAGGGAGGTAGGGAAGCTGTTTATAAGTAGGGGAAGTGACATGATTATGTTCACATCTTTCCCGTTTAATCTCCCTGCTGGCTGCACTGTAGAAGTTGGATTACAGGGAGGATAAAAGACAGGGACAGGGGTTCTAGTTCGAGGTAGTGCTGAGACAGAACGGAACCAGGGTAGTGGCAGGGGAGGGAGAGAACTGGGTGAGTCCTGGAGATACAAAGGGGCCCAATGAGCATAAATTAGTAGTTGATCCGAGGAAACAGACTGTCCAGGCTGGCGTTATAGTGCGGTGGGTTAAGCCACTGTCTGCAGTGCCGTATCATATATGGGCACCGGTTCAAATCCTGGATGCTCCGCTTCTGATCCAGCTCCCTGCTAATGTGCATGGCCCAAGATGGCCCAAGTGCTTGGGCCCCTGCACCCACGTGGGAGACCTGGAAGAGGCTCCTGGCTTCGGCCTGGCCTAGTCCAGGCTGTTGCAGCAGTTTGGGGAATGAACCAGTACTTGGAAGATCTCTTCTGCCTCTCCCTCTCTGTCTGTAACTCTGATAAACCAATCAATCAGTCAGTCTATAAAAAAGAAAAACCAGCAGGGTTGTGACTCCAGCAACTGAATTACTAGGCGCTCCATTCGATGAAAGATGGAGCAATAAACGAGGACCAGATCTACTAGGAGGTGAGAAGAAAAGATGAAACCTGCTTTTGATGGGCTGGGTTCAGTGTCACCACAGGACAGTGAATAGAGACATTTAGAAACACCATTTGGGACAGACAGCCATTAGTATGGGAGTGGATAGGATCACTCTGGGAGGCTGCAGAGTAAGTTGGGCAAGGTGGGTTAAGCCAGCAGCCCATAGGGGTATGTTTGAGTCCTGGCTGCTCCACTTCTGATCCAGCTCTCGACTATGGCCTGGGGAAGCGGTAGAAGATGGCCCAAGTCCTTGGGCCCTTGCACCCACATGGGAAACCCTGAAGAAGCTTCTGGCTCCCAGCTCCTGGCTTCGGATTGGTCCACTGCTGCCATTTGGAGAGTTAACCAGTGGATGGAAGGATTCTCTCTCTGCCGGCCCCTCCCCCACTTTTTAAAAAATATATTTATTTATTTGAAAGATAGAATTGGGCTGGCACCGTGGCTCACTAGGCACACTGGGTTCTAGTCCCAGTCGGGGCGCCGGATTCTGTCCCGGTTGCTCCTCTTCCTGTCCAGCTCTCCGCTCTGGCGTGGGAGTGCAGTGGAGGATGGCCCAGGTGCTTGGGCCCTGCACCCGTGTGGGAGACCAGGAGGAAGCACCTGGCTCCTGGCTTCAGATTGGCACAGCACACCAGCCGTAGCAACAATTTGGGGGATGAACCAACGGAAGGAAGACCTTTCTCTCTGTCTCTCTCTCTCTCACTGTCTAACTCTGCTTGTCAAAATAAAATAAAATAAAAAGAAAGGCAGAATTACAAAGAAAGAGGGAGAGACATAGACAGAGTCATTCCATCTGCTGGTTTACTTCCTAAATAGCCATAATGACTCGGGCTGGGCCAGGCTGAAGCCAGGAGCTTGGAATTCCATCCAGATCTCCTGCATGAATTGCAGGGACCCAAGTAATTAGGCCATTTTCTGCTGCTTTTCCAGGTGCATTAGCAGGAAGCCAGATCAGAAATGGAGCAGCCAAAACCTGAACTGGTGCCCATAAGGGATGCTGGCATCATAAGCAGCGGCTTAACCTGTTGCACCACAATGTCAGACCTATTATGTGTATGTTTATTTCTGAGCCAATACCACAGTATTTTAATCATACTTTTCTGGTATGTTTTAACATCTAGTATTCCTGAAACAGATTCTTTTCTTGCCCTCCATAACCTGACACTTGTCTATTTTTCTTTCTACTTGTATAATCTAGGCACTTCTCAGTCTCCTCCACAGGTTCTTTTCACTCTCTGCTTATCCCATTAACAGTGTCATCTGGATCCTAGGCCCTCCCACCTCATTTTTGAAGATGCATTTAAAGATTCTTAAAGTTGTATTCATTTGTCTGAAAGGCAGAGTTATAAGAGCCGGAGCTGTGGCATAGCAGGTTAAGCCTCCGCCTTTGGCATTAGCATCCCTTATGGTGTGCCAGTTAGTGCCTCAGCTGCTCCACTTCCAATCCAGCTCTCTGCTAATGTCCCTGGGAAAGCAGAGGAAGGTGTCCCAAGTGCTTGGGTCTCCACAGCACGTGGGAGACCCAGAAGAAGCTTCTGGGCCGGCACCGCGGCTCACTAGGCTAATCTTCCGCCTAGCGGCGCCGGCACACCGGGTTCTAGTCCCGGTCGGGGCGCCGGATTCTGTCCCAGTTGCCCCTCTTCCAGGCCAGCTCTCTGCTGTGGCCCAGAAGTGCAGTGGAGGATGGCCCAAGTGCTTGGGCCCTGCACCCGCATGGAAGACCAGGAGAAGCACCTGGCTCCTGGCTTCGGATCAGTGTGGTGCGCCGGCCGCAGTGCGCTGGCCACAGCGACCATTGGGGGGGGGGGGGTGAGCCAATGGCAAAAGGAAGACCTTTCTCTCTGTCTCTCTCTCTCACTCTCCACTCTGCCTGTCAAAAAAAAAAAAAAAAAAGTTGGGGGAGGAAGGGAAGCATTGTGGTACAAAGGATTAAGCCAGCACCTGTGATCCCAGCATCCCTTATGGACACGGGTTCAAATCCCAGCTGCTCCACTTTTTGTTGTTGTTGTTGTTAAGATTTATTTATTTATTTGAAAGTCAGAGTTACACAGAGAAAGGAGAGGCAGAGAGAGAGAGGTCTTCCACCTGCTGGTTAACTCCCCAAATGGCCACAACAGCTGGAGCTGCACCGATCCAAAGCCAGGAGCCAGGAGCTTCTTCTGGGTCTCCCATGGAGGTGCAGGGGCCCTAAGACTTGGGCCATCTCTACTGCTTTCCTAGGCCATAGCAGAGAGCTGGATCGGAAGTGGAGCAGCCGGGACTCGAACCGGCGCCCATATGGGATGCCGGCACTGCAGGTGGTGGCTTTACCCCCTATGCCACAGTGCTGCCCCTCCCACTTAATTACTTCATTTATTTGAAAGACAGAGTTACAGAGAGACAGAGAGATAGAAAGATCTTCCATCTGCTGATTCACTCCCCAAATGCCACAACGGCCAGAGCTGGGCAGGTGTGAAGCCAGGAGCTGGGAGCTTCTTCCAGGTCTCCCACATGGGTGCAGGGGCCCAAGGACTTGGGCCATTCTCCATTGCTTCCCCAGGCACATTAACAGGGAGCAGGATTGGAAGTGGAGCAACAGGGACTCAAACTGGCATCATGGGTGGTGACTTTACTTGCTAAGCCACAGTGCTGGCCCCACTGTCCCACTTCTGATTCACTTAAACGTATGCACAGACGGAGTTCCTAGCTCCAGCTTCAGCCTGGCCCAGCCCCTGTTGGTCATTGGATCCATTTTGTGGGGGCCAACCAGTGGATGGGGGATATCGCTCTCTCTCTCTGCCTTTCAAATAAACACATAAATAAATCTTAAAAAATAAATGTACACACAGTAAACCAGAAGATAGTCCAGAAACAGGTCCACATACTAAGATATCTACATCATAGGTACTTTAAATATTTTTGTGGAAAGTGTAATTCAAAGATGTTTGTCCTGGTGCAAAAAAGTTTTGAAGTCTGGGGGCAGGCACTTGGTGCAGCACTTAGTTGCTGCCTGGGATGCCCACACCGCATACTGAATGCCTGGCTTCCTGCTAATGTGCACCCTGGGACACAAGAAAAGAGGGTGGCTGAAATACCTGGGTCCCTGCCACCCACATGGGAGACCTGGATTGATTCTGGGCTCCGGGGCTTCAGCTTGGTCCAGCCCTGGCTGTTGCAGGTATCTGGGGAGTAAACTGGCAGATGGATACTGTCTCTCTGTCTGCCTCTCCAATAAAATGAAAATAAAATTTAGAACAATGTGAAATCCATGAATTCAAAGAGGTCTTCAATAAATATGCAAAATGTATATCGTGAAAGAGCAGCAATGGATTTCGAAAAATTTTTGCACTTATTTAATTTCATGTTTCACAAACTTTCTGAAGTACCCTCCCATGCAGATCACAGTCTATCATGATGACGACTTTTCTTTTTTTAAATTTATTTATTTTTTATTTTTGCCAGGCAGAGTGGACAGTGAGAGAGAGAGACAGAGAGAAAGGTCTTCCTTTACCGTTGATTCACCCTCCAATGGCCGCTGTGGCCGGCACGTTGCAGCTGGCGCACCACGCTGATCCGAAGGCAGAAGCCAGGTGCTTCTCCTGGTCTCCCTGGGTGCAAGGCCCAAGGGCTTGGGCGCCTGCACCCGCGTGGGAGACCAGAAGGAAGCATCTGGCTCCTGGCTTCGGATCAGCGTAGTTCCGGCCATAGCAGCCATTTGGGGGGTAAACCAGTGGAAGGAAGACCTTTCTCTCTGTCTCTGTCTCTCTCTCTCACTGTCTAACTCTATCTGTCAAATAATAAAAAAAAAATACTCCCTATCCATT